TTTAATTATATATATATATATATATATATTTTTTTTTTTAGTTTGTTATTTATTTACAAGCTTGATACAGCTTTGTTATTCTAAGTCTAAGTCTGCATACCCCACATTATTTTGGAATGTTAAGCTGCGCACTGATGTTTTTTGTACTGATAAGGACCCCTTGCATTGGAGTGTACGGGCCATAATTTTAATCCACATGCAAAAAAAGAGTGACAAAAATTGAGGCAGTCGATATCAAAGGCAAGATATTAATCTATTTGGCCTCAAGGCTGGTTTCATGAAGACAATATTTAAGAGTGGCTTTTGACTCCAAAACTTTTCTTTACTCTATATACTTTACTCTATATAGCCTATGGTTTGTTGTATACCCCATATCCTTATTTGTCCCTTTTTTGTGGTGTTTTACAGACTGTCATGAGATAAACCTGTTGTCAGTCTTTGAAAATTATCAGGATTTGACAAGATCTCTCTGATTGTCTCTCCTGTTCTCTTAGTATATGTGCGGTTTAACTCCAGCCATGGGTTCCCGGTGGAACTGGAACAGGGTGCGAGTGTAGCTGAGCTGAAAGAGACGGTGGGGCATTTACAGGGCGTACAGCCTGATCGACTGCGGGTTATCTTTGCTGGACGAGAGCTCTGCAATGAATCCACACTTCAGGTATAAAGACCACTTATGGAAATAATATACTTTAAAATAATATGTTTGAAATAAATGTTCTCAGACACTTGCATGTTAGTTATAATTAAATTATAATAAAATTATTATTGTTAAAATTTATATTAAATGCAATTATTTCAACATAAGAGTGCTTTTTTGACACACGTAGGTCTTAACTACAAGTAGGTCTTAAGTACATCTTTATATGTAAATTAGCCTACTGCTATTGCCTTTGAAACATGGTTGAAGTTTACTGCCGAATGTAATGTCAAGCATTTATGGTAAACTAAATTATACGTCAGTGTCATTCTATTCTATTTTGGTCCCACTTTATATCAAGTGGCCCTAATACCTGTGTACTTACCTAGTAACTAGATGTGTACGTAGTATGTAACCACAGTGTAAGTACACATTGGTACATAGTATCTACAGCTCTAATGTTTGTGTAACTACACATATGTAACAACCCACTGAACAGTATGTGTACTGTATTACAGTGGTGCACCATCTCCACCAACTCGAGATCCAACACCTCCCACTTTTACATATCCCTAAATCTACCCATCTCCACCCTCTGGATCCCTTTTACACCCCTAAACCTACCCATCTCCGCCCCCTGGATCAAATGGTTCAAATTACTCTTATACATATTGTTGTTACAAAATGTAGTTATATAATTCCTGTTACACAAGTACTTAGTGAAGTGAAAAAAAGTGCTGTTACTAATGTCCTATACTATGTACACATCTAGTTACTATGTAAGTACACAGGTATTAGGGCCACTTAATATAAAGTGGGACCAAATTTTTAATCAAATTAATCACAAATCAAAATTGTCTGTGATTAATCGCGATTAATCGCACATTTCATGAAATTAAGCACAGACCATTTATCTTGTTTCAAATGTTTATTTTGTCATCATTTGCTATATTCAGCAAAGTAAACCAAAAGATTGAAGGGTGATTCTCAAAAATCTGTATTTTCTGCAAGCTTTTCTCAGGATAAATGTAGATGTCTTTCCAAAAAAGGACTCCAAAAGAACTCCAAAACTCCAAAAGGATACTCCAAAAGGACACCAAAGAACCAAATGATATAAGCCCATATAAGCACATATGAAAGAAAAAAAAATGCAAAAAAAATATATATATCTGAATTGTATAGTATGTGTACAGTGCAACAGCAAATAGCTTTTTTACATTTTAGAGAAGTCAAGTTGTGATACCGAACAGAACCACATGGTGATGCCAAAAAAAACCTAAACCAACCGCCTGCTTACTGCATACAGTATATCTACTACAGTACACGGATCCATTCAGAATAACTAAACACAGCAACATACACTTGACAAATCAAAACATTAAAAACATTATCGTGAATGTGTGTGGAAACAACGTGAATGTATGGAAATGCCTATGCCTGTGCATAAATTCAATGTGTGATCAGTGCGTCAAGAGCACTCATACACACATTATTATAACGGACTCACGCGTGCTTACTGTACGACTCCTGTACGCCACCGCAATCGCCTTAACCTTGATTGCAGTCTTCATCCATCAAAACTTTACTAGCGAAACACTAGTTATCCAGTCGAGAAAATCTAGTTTGCATGTGTTGTGTTGACAATCTGTTCAGTCTGTACTTCACACAGTGCTGCGTGTGAGGGCTCACGCTCTCCAGAGACAATCACAGAATAAGACAGAGCTTGTGTTTAAAAGCGAAACACACTGGAATAAATAATTCACTGGAGACGC